CTCTCTCTCTCTCTCACACACACACACACACACACACACACACACACACACACACACACACACACACACACACACACACACACACACACACACCAATTTACACAAGTTTCAGAACAAATATCAAATAAGTTTTCCAATTCCTGCAAAGCTTCAACAGATCAGCTTCAACCTCCATCAGACAGGTCAATTTGATCACTATGTAAGTAACATCCAAGGTCACTATAATCATCATCACATGTGGGAGGAGAAAATGACAGAAAACTACATATTAAGAGTTCCAGATATAAAGTGACGGAAAGGGACTACTACGCCTGAAGACAAAACAATCGAGAACGTTAAGCTCCACCAGTGATACATGGGAGAACACACACTGAGAATCCTCAAGGACAAGACATTGATTGAGTGCACAATTCACTACAAGCCTGAGTACAACATCTATGTTGAAGACCGTTGACCTGCCCAGAGAGATCTTCCGGAGACAGCAATGAGAGAACTCTGGTAACCCTCTTCATGAGCTCTGTCGAGAACTTTCCAGTGGATGCTCCTCGATGTCTCAACACTATTGCGTCAAAGGAAGCAATCCCTTACACCTACCTGAGCGGGATTGGTTTCAGTGGCTGAGGATTGACTATTTATGTTGTGCCGGTCCAGTTCACACAAACTCCTGACTACTATCTGAGACTGAACATCAAGTCGAGAAAGAGGGTCGTACATCTTTTAACTCCTGCAGGATCGCTGCAGCCAAGAACGTAGATGAGACATATCACTCTTAAGCATGGCAGCGATCCGGACCTCCGGACAGGGATCCGGACCGTCCGGTGTCCGGTGTCCGGTGAACGTGTCCGGATCCCGGTCCGGATTCCAGGCCCTTTGGCCAACGGCCAATTTTTTTTTTGTTTGTCCAGGGCGTTTCGTCTCGCCCAGGGCTGCCAGCCAAAAATACGAGCAGAATTTTTTTGGCCCTGAAGGGGCATCCGGTAGGGCCAGAATTTTTTTTTTTGCCTGTGGGAAGTTTTCTTCCTTCTATGTTTCTGCCTGTTTGAATGTCATCCTTGCATCGTGGCAGCTTCGTAGTGAGCACAGTCTTTGAATTCATTATCCCGTCTTGCGAGTTCGGCTGCCCCCCCTCCCACAACAATGTTCGAGCTTGCATGCCCGCCACTACCGCCATTGTCAGAGGGAGGAAGAAGCAGGGCAACGAGGCGGCCATAGCAGGCAAGGAGCAGACGCTGAGCAGGCGCAGGAGGGCTGGCAGTGGGTGCAGCAAAGGGCGAGCGAGGAGCAGTGCAAGCAGCTCTCTCTCTCTCTCTCTCTCTCTCTCTCTCTCTCTCTCTCTCTCTCTCTCTCTCTCTCT